ATTGGCAGTTTGTTGATGCCCTTCTTAGACGGGAGGCAACAAAGTCTTTAAAGGCATTTTGTACTGTCTCTCAAGTATTGAAGTTTTTCCCGCCAAAAAGTTATCCGAATTCTGGAAAAAGTACTTGCGATTGTCAAAGTGAACCAAATGGACCAATATAGTTTTGATGCTTATATCGAAAGCTGCTGCTAATTCAGCCGTAGGTTGAGTATCGTCAGCTTCCATAGTCGCCTTTAAGTCGTTATTGTCAACCCAAGTTTTCGGACGACCACGGGGTTCGTTTTTCAGATCGAAATTTCCAGAACGGGAGCGGGCAAACCAATTACGGGTGGTACGCTCTTTTGTGGTAATCGCTCCGTAAACGTCGTCGTCGATGTTACGTGCCGCTTGTGCCGCGTTGCTGTCACGACGGTACTCATATTGCCATAGTAAATCGAATTTTAACGTATCCATGATCACGAAAAATATTCAAATGCGAAGAAAAGCATAACGCTAATCAATGAACAAATAAGTAATTTTGAATAAAGAATTCCATGTTTAAAAATTTTTATTAGAAATGGCCAGTATCGGAGAACGACAATTTTATAGGCAAAGACCTAATATATTTATATACTTAATTTGCATGCAGGCTGAATATATCACACCTGCTGTGTAACATAATATTTATTTTGAAAGAAAGAAAGAAAGAAAGAACCATTTATTTGATAATCACACTTTATACACAATTTTTGAAATTTAAATATAAATTACAATGGACAAAGAATATGCATGCACAGGTGTAAGACTGCTTACGCATTAAAAATTATTTAATAAGCAGAATATGCATGATGTTAATTAATAATGAAACAAATAAAATAAAAAAAAGAATTTAAAGATAAAATGTGACATCAAATAGGTCTCCAACTCAGCATAATGCTGCAGAGGTTTTCAGTTGGAACCTTGTGACTTCACTGACGAGTCGGTGTGTGAACCTCGAATTACGCGTAACTACAACTTATAGACTAATAGTAATTAGCCAGTGAGCTAAAGGGTAGTGCTAACGAACATAGTTAACACAGACATACTGTATTAATATCAATATTAATGGTGTGTAGTACATACACTGTACCTATACTTACATAATATAACATATTTGGTTCTATGGGGAAGACAAAGCAAAGTAGCAATAAAATTTATGATTTTAGTACATATATAATTTATATTCTGTACTCAAAGGGACACGCCACGTTACGAGACCTCCTAAATTTTTTTTAGAAAAAAAAAGGTAAGATTAAAAATAAATAAATAATAAATGTTCATTCATCACATATGTAGCAGAAATAAACAATAATCAATAATATTTGAACATGGTGTAAAACAGTATGAATATTATTACTATTTTGCGTTCTAAACGTAATTATATTACGTATTTAGAACTTTTTGTGATAAGTAATAGAATTTTAGTTTGTTTTTGAAACTATTCAGTGATTTTAGGAAACGAATAGGTGGTGGTAGATCATTCCAACAGTGGGTTGCTGCAAATTTACTACCTCGAAACGCAGCTGTGCGGTATAGAGTTGTTACAAGGGAATGAACAGAAGCTCTTGTATTATATTTATTTTTTTTTGAAATTGAAATGTATTTATTTAACCAAAAAAAAAACATTACATAATTAAGCAATACACTGGTTTCTGCACTAAGCTCTAGGCTTGTATCGCAGGAACCAAGAACTTTGACTGACACCGTTTACACCGATAAATACATAGAACTCCGATTAAATTATAATAAAGCGAAAAATAAATCTCTTTTTTTTTTATTTATTTTGATCTCGGGCCCACTTCAGCTTTTGAAACAGGTATACTGCTCACTGTTTTGTTATTGTTGAGAATAGTATAGTAGCAAGGTGTAATTTTCTCCGGGCACTCATTTTTAATAGATTAGCATTGTTCAAATAAGGCGTTACATGACTTCGAGGCGGGACAGTGAAACAAAACCGAGTACACGCATTTTGCACCCGCCGTATGAGCTTCTCTGACCTTCTCATCAATCGTGGTCCATAGGCTGCATCGCATAATTTAACTTAGACAGTATTAATGACTCGCACAATCTTATCCGGATATCTTCACTGAGGTATTGCCGAACTTTATACAACAACTTCAAACGGTAAAAGCAACTCAGGCGCAATCCTTCAAGTACATGACTTTCAAATCGCAAACTAGAATCAAATAATACACCTAAATTTCTTGCCTTAGAGACTTGCTGTATAGGTTCATTATCAATTATAACTAAGGGCTGAAGCATTGATATATAATATTTTTATTTGTTCCAAGAATTAAAAATTTTGATTTTTGTGGATTTAGCACAAGAGAACATTGCTTGGATCATAACGAGATAGTTTGAGATCTTCATTCAATAATTTGACGGCAGTTTCACAATCTTGGGGGAAAAAAGATTTATATAATTGCACGTCATCTGCATATAAGTGATAGTAACAATTTTTGATACAGCTAGAATCAGAAATGTCAGAAAAAATGTGATGTCTGAACAATATAAATAATTAAAATAGTACCCAGGATAGATCCCTGTGGAACACCGCGAGAAACTAAGTATGGTTCAGACATAAGTATTGTGCCATCATGTTTTGTTATACTAACATGTTGCAATCTATCTGTTAAGTAACTATGAAACCATTGAATTGTGCAAGCATCAAATCCATAGAAAGACAACTTAGAAGAAAAGTACAATTTATGGAGTCAAAAGCTCGTGAGAAATCTAAAAGAGTAAGTATTGTCCCCATTCCCTTATCCTGAGCTGTTAGTATATTATCAACAACATCAATAATCGCTGTTGTGGTGCTATAGTGTTTACGAAAACCTTATTAATTATATATAAATTTACGAAAACCTGACTGTGATAAATGTAAGATTTTGTGTAAAAGTAAAAAAGTAAAGTAAAGTTACAGCCTATATACGTCCCACTGCTGGGCACAGGCCTCCCCTCATTTCTGAGAGGGTTTTAGGGCAAGGAAATGTCCGCCACGCTGCCCCAATGCGTGTTGGCGAACTTCACATGTCTTCGAAATATTTTTTTTTCTTATTCCTCAGACATGCAGGTTTCTTCACGATGTTTTCCTTCATCGCTGAGTACGTGGTAAATCAGCACTTAAAATTGCAATTAACAATTTCATTAGTGCCGGCGGGGATCGAACCCGAGTTACTCGCATTCTGTTATATTTACAGCGAGCGTTAACCATCTGAGCTACCACGGCTCTCAGATTTTGTGTACCTCTAAGTATTCGGTTAACTGAACGCAGACCACTTTTTCTAATACCTTAGATAAACAAGGCAAGATGCTTATGGGGCGTAGATCTTTTAAACAGGTTGCCTGTTTTTTCTTAGGGATAGGCTTTACCACAGTTATTTTCCATTGATCAGGGAAGGTAGAGGTGGTAATAGATTTATTCACAATAGCTGTGATAACTTTCAATGTATGTGGCAGTGTCATAAGTAACATATCAAGTGTTATCTGATCCACACCTTGGGCGTTAGATTTCAAACTCTGAATTATTTTAGCTATTTGGTCCTCATTTGTTATATTTAAATGGAAAATACCTGGCCTATATTTGTTAAACTCATAGCAAGTAAATTTTGAAAGGTCTATATTATAATCACCAGGAATATTCAAAAATGTTTATTTATTATATCAGGATCATTACAATGATCTGGCAAATTTATCTCAGCCTGTTCCTTAGTAATAATATTACCTTTTATACTTTTCCATAGAGCTTTAGGGTTATTTAACTTTTTATTAATATACGTTTCAAAATATGCTCTCTTTTCAAAATGAATAGCATTAGTCACAAGGTTTTTTAGATCTTTATAGGAATTATAATGTTTATCTAGTTTAGTTTTCTTATACCGCATGAAATAGTGGTTTCGATGCCTCATCATTATTTTAACTGTATCAGTAATCCATGGGTGATTTTGTTTTTTTAATCGCATTAATTTATTTGGGGCATGAAGGTCAAAAAGCGTTATTATATATGAATTAAACTTTGCTACCATATCATTAACATTGTTGAGATATAAAATTCTATCCCAATCAATACTGTTTAAATCTGCATTAAAATAGTCTACCAAAATCTGCTTAAGTGGACGAATGTAAGCCTTACGTGTAATAAACTTATCTTTTTCTATTAGAAATTGAACGGATATCACTGCGTGTTGCCCTAATTGTGGTATATGTGAAACTCTTGTGTTAGAAACACTAATGTCAGAGCATACCAAATCAATGAGTGTTTCACTGTGATATGTGTAGGCTCAGATATAACTTGAGATAGACGAGTATAATTGAGAAAACTAAGAAGAAGTTTAGTTTTGGGGTCATCTTCTTTTAGCAAATTTATATTGAAATCACCTACAAGAATCATTTTATCAGCCTTGTGAATGAAACAATAGATGAAGTGAGGGCATCTAGAAAAATATTTACATCGAGCCAAGGCGGACGATAAGCTGTGCCAATCATAATTTTCAGTGTGTTTATCGTGAAAGAGAGCCATATTTGCTCAACATCAGTGGAATGAGGATGCGGGCAATAACGCACTGCGATCCCCGAGCGTATGTAAAAGCCAACGCCACCTCCACGGCCGCTGCGCACGGCAGCAGGTATCCGGGCACAACGGGCGCGCTGCTCTCCTCACCCGTCCTCAACCATGTTTCGTTTATTGCCATAATGTCAAACTGGGAATTCTCTAAAGCAGCTATGAATTCGTCATGGCGTGTACCCAGTGACCCAGCATTTAACAAACCAATTTTGAGTAATTTGTTTTAGATTTTTTATGAGTTATATAAATAATTTTTAATTTCTTATATCTGTATTTTCCCCATAGATTTAAATCATAATATATAAATGGACGATAAAAACATGTAATATAATATAATATATTAATAACATAATGTTTTAAGAGATGTTTAGGAGGGCAAATTTCATTAATAATAATTGGTAACTTGTATGAATACGTATTAGTCTTCGGTAGCAGTACCTATATGTATTTCGCGACTATGAATATTTTTAACACTATTTAATTTATTTTTTACAAGATTAACAAACGAACATTTTTTTATCTTATGCATGATATACATAAAAACTAATTTACCTATTGACCGATGATAAAATAAAATATAAATTCTATAGTGAACACAAGTGTCATAACAAATCAAAAGGTTTACACACCGTTTAAAAGTTACGTACATAAGAACAATTTTAAAAAAAGTATAAATCTTACAACAAGAGGTACATTCATGATTTTTATATGCATGTGTGTACAAATATAAATAATATAAAAAAGAGTAATGTTATAAAATTAATTTGAAAGTGGCCTAACTGCATCGTTACCAAAAACACGGATCAGATCTGCCTCAGATCGGATACAATAAGCATTATTCCCATATCCTTAGCGAGCATAGATTCTACCATATCTGGTCCATGTATATCTCCACCGTAGCTGCCTTGTTGCCTCCCGTACTCGCTAAAATAGTTGGCGATTAGCTTTTGAGAGACGCTCATTAATATAGAAGCGACAAGGTGGACCTGGCAGACCAAGGTCAGCGGTGGTAGCAGTCCTCCGCACGCGTGCGCTTCGCAATAACTCGTCGCGCAGCTGGCGGCGCGCTAGACGCACCACCACTCGACGCCCATGGCCTCGATCTCCATCCGCATTGTCACGCTGCTTCCTTGTTCCTTACACGATCCGCGAAAACAATGTCCGTCTCGTCCAGCGATACTCCCAGCTTCGCAGCCACCAACACGACCGTATGAGTGATGTTTTCTGTCCTCTCTTCCGGAATATTTATGATTTCAAGGTCGGCTGCAAGCAACTCCTGCTCCCGATCATTAAGCTCACGCGTAAGTCTGGACACGGTTTGTTCGAGCTCAATTATTTCGACTGACCTGTTACTGTTGCTTTGAGTCTTCTGTTCTAGAATACTAATCCTGCTCTCCATTTCATCCATTCTCTTATTACTCATCACTAAAGATTCCCGTATTTCAACCATATCCCTCTGAAAGTCTTTGAGCTCCTCCCTAACCCTACATAATTCCTCCCTGAAAAGTCGAATTTCTGGAATCAGTTCCCGATGAAAAGACTCAGGGGAGCTAGTTGCAGTTTTTTCTGAGTCACTGCTTGTTCCGGAGATTGTAGGATTTAAAATTTCACTCTTGGCAACCATGCCCCTAACTAGAGTAGAAGAGTTGTTTCCCTTTGGCACAGTCTTTTTACACTCTGGACATTGCCAGCGTTCATGGATCTTAGAGCGGTCAGAGACTCCAACACAAGCTCGATGATATAATACTGGACATTGTCCGCATTTAACGGCCTCTGCCGTAGAAAGGAATTTACAACAAGCTCCACATTTAACCATATTTAAGAAGTACAGTTTAAGCTGTTTATGTATATTATATACTCCACTCACCCACTAATGGCACTGGTATATACTATTGGTATGTGACAAGTACGGAGGTGTGTGCAGCAAAAAATATGTAGGTAATTGAAATAATTAAGTTGTACGAGTGAACGCAACTAACAAATAACAAACAAAACCAATTGTGTTCATTCACTTATTTTTATGTTCACTAGTTTATTAACTGCACCAATTCACTGCAAAACACTCACTGATATGTAGTGTTATGTTAAAATTAAAATACTGCGTTAGCAATTCTATTCATAAAATTATAAGCAACAGCTGATCACTGTACCGACGCGTCCGCGACGTCACTCCGTTATTTCGTTATATTCTGCAAATACTACACATACTACACATTGAATAAAAATAGTTTTTACGGATTTTTTCGCTTTATTTTGTTATGCTCTCTTTATAACAAACATAAAAATATTCAAATTATTAATTTTTAAGTTTTCAAGTGACTGTATCTGTCCCAAGATGCTTGTTTATTTATATTTGATGTTAGCTGGATACTTCACACCATTCTTAGCCATCTTGATAATAGGCACAGATCTCCATTTACTGTTGTAACTTAAATATAAACAAAGAATCAATTATCACAATTATTAACGATTCTGTCAATCAGATCACTTTGTTATTCAAACAAAATCTTAGATATTTCTTAAGTTAATGGTATTTATTTTGCTCTCACTGTTGTCGATATCTGAACAAAGAGGACAGATTAGTCTAAGTGAAAGCACAATTACTTTATATTATCAAACAAAGCTACTTAATGTACTGTTATAAAGCCGTTTAGGGTTTATATTTGTATTGTGTGTGTAATAATTCTTTAATTTTATTTAATGGTGGTAGTAATGAGACTTGATCTCTATAATTTAACCCATTCTTTTAAGGCCGTTAAGGTTCACTATGCCTCTCGCCACTTGATGATCCTATTAATTTCCATCCTCACGATCTCTGAGACATACTATTTAACTAAAAAGCGGTCTAGGTGCGTCCCAAAAGGTCCACACGACTAACTTCCCAGTGAAAAGAATAAAAAAATATCATATGTTTTAATATTTTATACAATTTTTCACTCGGCGCAAAAAACGACTCGACCGATTTGGCTCAAAATTTAATGAGGTCTATGTTACATAATTATGCGTTTAACTGGTTCCATGTCAATATCACTCTTTTGTTCTCGAGATACACGAAGCGAAAATTGAATCCGAACATACATACATACGTACATATGTACATGTGCACACACGGACATCCTCTTAAAACTTAAAAACCATACTATTCGACTCTAATGACCTTGAAACGTGGAGATATGTTAAAGCTTCCAATTTGCAAAATAGGACAAGTTACAATAACTTCCCACTGGGAAGTTAAAAAGCTGTCGTTTGGTCGTCATAATAATGTCATTCTAAATTTTTGTCAAACGGTCGGGGCAGCTCCGTCTACTTTTCGTTGGGCCGCTTCGGAAAGAGAATTTATTATAAAGAATTCCTACGCAGTCGGGCAGCTGTTGATCCCTAGACCTATTCGAAATTTTCCTTATCTCCAGATGACCGTCTTTTCTTCTGCCTAATGTTGCGTTGAAGTCCACATCAATAAGGTATAGGAAGTTTCTGAGGAAGTTATGGCTCTAGTACATTCTCTACACCACCTCATCGGAATATATACCAAGGTTAGCTGCGTTAACCTGTATGCCCTTTGGTGATTCTGCGTTGATGTACGCAACCCATGTCGACAACCTTCCGATCTTGAACTATTTGTTAATGAGAGAAGTAAAATAATGAGAGAGATTGTCACCTCAGTCCCCCGTGACCATGGGTGCTGGAAAGCGCCCGAAACGTCGGGTATTAAAAATAAAATAAATAAAACCCGATAAAATCCGTAAAAGTAGTTTTAATCAATGTGTAGTGTTCGCGTAAATATAAGAAATCATTAGAGAGAGATTCATTTTACCTACAGTTACTTTCTTCGTCATCATAATCATCACACCCCTTCACACGCCCACAGCTGCACGGAGCCCTTCCTCATAAAGCATGGTCTTGAGCCACCTGCATTCATCGACTTCCTGCATGTCTTACAAGGTTAGTTAGTTACTTCCATCATCATCATCATCATCATTACTGCCCATCACAAGTCAACTGCTGAACATAGGCCTCCCCCAAGGAAAGCCACAAAGCACGGTCCTGAGCCATCTGCATCCATCGACTTCTTGCACATCTTACCAGGTAGTCGCTCCATCTAGGAGTGGGTCGCCCTACACTACGCCCACCGGTACGAGGCTTTCACTCGAGAACCTTTTTTCCCAGTTACTTCCATACCGATAGATAATTTCAGTATGCCAGTTAAGTTAATATTTTAACTATAAAAATTAAACTGAAGACATGAATTTAGTAAAAGTTTTAAATAGGAGACTATTAAATGCAATAATGTCAAAAATTAATTCAGTGCAGTTCTTAGTAGCGGTAAGGCTCTTTTGCAGGTGGATTGGCGTTTGCAGTACCAGACGCCCACATGATAGGTTTGCCACCCGTACTATAATATATTATAGTATCGTACTATATTTCTGTTAATTGTACTATATATTTTAGAAAAATAATATAGTACGAAAAATACGGTATTTATATCCCTAATTCTAGTGCCGCGCTTTTTTATATTAACTGTGAACCGTGTCTGGCACAAGTAAGTATTACGGAAAAAAAATCCATCATGAATGTAAAATTGAAAGAAGAAAGAAAATGAGCATATATTAATTTAATTTATTGTTAATTTGTTTTAATATGAATCTAAATTGCTCAGACCTATACTTATTTTAAAGGTAGGGTGGTTAGAACCATAGAATACTGTAATACACAATAGAATGGCTGTCAAGTGTCAACCTTATTTTGTACGAGGGTCGGCGTCGCCGGGAGCACACATACGAGTATAAGCAATTACGTCGTATTGTCACTACTATAAACCCGATTAGCTGTGTTGACAGACTGAGTAAATTTAAACATTTTAGACTTTTGATTAATGTTTTAATTTGGCATTTTCTAAATAATTTGCATGCGAAATTTGGAAACGATTGTAATGTCAAAACACATCTCGACTTCACGTATAACTGTCTCGTTGACAGTTATACGTGTGAATGGGCATGTTAATGAAATTTTAGTGGCTACACGGGCTCCGCCCACACCCCTTTCTATTATGTATGTATTAAAGTATTCTATGGTTAGAACATTAATAGCCACTGTCACGGGAATTTTTTTTTATCTTCTTCGGTCATAAAATTATAAATTATGATGAAGTGGATTATGTGTTATATGAAATATGATAAAAGCAGAGATTCGGAACGAAATTATAAGGTTTCCTTGTGTGACAGTGCACCTAATCCTAAAATTATTTTCACTTTATAATGTAGCACGACTGTTATTAGTTATTAGGTCTTAAATCTTCGGAAAGTATAATTTGAATTTTATTTTATACCCATTCAAACTGCTCCACACTTTACTCGTCTATAAAATTAAATTTTACAATGCTATCAAAATATTATTAACTTTTTAAAAAAATATTATAAAATTCAGTATAGTAATGGAATCTATCGATAATTTGATTAATACTTGCTTTACTTAATTTGAGTTATGCTATTTTAAGTATTTAGTGTGTTCCTATAACCTTGGTTAGGTTTTTGTTTTTAGTTAAATTAGATTTTCATTATTAAATAAAACTCAATAAATAAGATATTATCTCTATATCTAAAAATCAACTCGCTAAAACACAAAAATGACTCAACCGATTTGGATGATATTTTATGTGTGTTTGAATGGGTCCCTAAATGGTTAAATTTACATTTGAACCCGGTGTTGTCCAGATCCAAAAATCACTCGTGTGACGCTGGGGTGGATCACTAGTTAATTTTAATAAATTATGATTTACTGGTATCTCCTATATAAGCTTAAACTTAAAAATATTGCAATTGAAATGTGCGTCAGCTACTATTTTGTAAGTACATAGTAAGTTTTTAAGATTGATTAGGATTTATTTTGTAATCGTCTGATACAAGCTTAGACCATTCAACCCGATGGACGAGTAATGCACCTAATGCTACGAACAAAAAAGTCTGTCACTTTTGGTGCGGGGGAGGAAACACTACATAGACAGTACTGCACACCTACTCAATAAAATTTTGTGCCATTATGGTCTATACATATTACACATAAATCATTTTACACATAAAGGTTAAATACATCAACATAGAAAAGATTATGAGCGTAAGACGGACAAATTAATTGCGATGCTATCTTATCGATATTTTATATCGATAGAATTCCCTTAGAAAAAAATCTCACAAGAATTAGCAAAATGCACTCGAACAATTAAAATCATCTATTCAGTTGGTCCGCGTAGCAAGTTTTTTTAAGGTTCCGTAGTAATACAGCAAGGAACGCTTATAGTTTCGCCAAGTCTATCAGTCTGTCTACTTGTACGCGGCTTAGTGCAGAGACTATTGGTATTCTAAAGAGCTATAATTTGGGAAATAAAAAGGCTTTGATATCCCAACACATACCCATTCCTATTTGGATCACATACTTTTAAAAACAACACTACCCGCACGTTGTCATGTTGCACACACTACCATCACAAATCATTACACCATATTCTTTAGCTTAAATTGGAAGTGTAAAAATAATTGTCATACCAAAACAAAATTTAATCAACTTGACTATAAGGCCTTAGACTTAACTTTTAATGAATTAGATTTTACGCCTATATACTCAATGCGAAATGTAAATGATGCAGTTGCGTTTTTAATTAATATTCTTAATCTTATTATTGACAAATGTACTAAAAACATAACGATCTCGAGACGTAAACGAACTATTAAACCTTGGATAACTTAACCTAACGAGGCTTGCTAAAATGCATGAAAAATGGAGACAATTTATTTATTAAATCAAGAAACCATCCTAATGACA